TGATGAATAGAAAGTTCAAAAGAACAGCATTTAATCTAAATAGAAATCTCTTGTAGCATTATGAATGTCTTTACTGTCACTTTTAGTTTATTTCATGCATCCTTGCTCAGTGAAAGTGGTCATTTATTTAAAAAATCTTATTTAACTCAGACTTGTGTACGGTGGTGTATGCTGAATTATTTATTTATTTTATTATAAATATTTATTTTTCCTGTGGGTGTGCATCTATGCGTAAGCTACGGCGTAGGTCCGACGCAGAAATATAAATCAGCCTTTAAGGGTCCTTTTTTCCTCCTATCTGTTATTTTTGTGTCAGATTATGTTTTCCTGGCGCTCCGCCCATGTTAATTTCAGCGTTTAAAACACAGAGGCACTTTGATAATTGTTTCTCGAGAAAAATCATATCGACACATCCTGTAATTTTGGAGTTTTCATTATAAGCTCTCGTTTTGTATTCAGGTCCAGTGAGACTCCTTTACATCAAAAAAGCCTAAAAAATACAAGCAACTGTATAAGATAAGATATTGACACACACTAAATATTTTGGCATTTAAAATACATTAATAATTATAAAGCTCCGAAATAAAATATTTTAAAATGTATTACATAAAATGTATACATTTTATTATATATATTTCACCCTTTTTTGTATTTTTTAGTGTTTGTGTTATTTATTATATATATATTAGCGATGTCAAATGATTAATCGTGATTAATCGCATCCAAAATAAAAGTTTTTGTTTACATAATATATGTGTGTGTACTGTGTATATTTATGTATATATAAATACACACACATGCATGTATATATTTAAGAAAAATTTTAATTTTATAAATTTAAAATATATATATCAATTATATGAATATAAATATATACATGGAAATATTTTCAAAAGAAATACTGTATGTGTGTGTATTTATATACACATATATTATGTAAACAATTTTTTTTATTTTGGATGTGTTTAATCGCGATTAATCGTTTGACAGCACTAATATATATATATATATATAATACACAGTGTTTCCCGTACATTGATTTGTCTTCAGAAAATTATGGATGTCATTTTCATTTCATCTTGCATGTAATGTCTGATAAAGAAGCGTTTGTGAGTGGAGCGCTGCTTTGTGTACAGTGTTACAGGGGAAACCTCTATTTCTCCCGCTCTACAAGCGCCTCCTGCTGGCAGAGAATGAATTTGCATATATATGCCACCACAAATAGAGTGCAAGTCTGTGGGAAACACTGATATATTTATATATAGGAACTTGACATTTTTTTTCTTCATCCTCTTTAATATTTGTGTGCGTGTTTTTCAGATGAAAGAGGGCAGGAGAACATCCAGTCTCAAGGCCAGTTATGAAGCTGTCAAGAACAATGATTTCTTGGGGCGGGAGTTTGCTCTGAGTCGGGACACCAGCGGTTACTCATCTTCTGCACTGGCTAGCACACTCACACAGCCCCTCACGTCCAACATCAGCTCAGACTCTCGCACAGGACGCAAGACCAAGTAAGACTCGCACTGTTTCCATATCCATTTATTTGGTTCCTCAATGAGCCACCAAGATACATTTTTGTGGTGTTTTTGTACATTGTGCCTCCTCTGTAAGCATAAACCTCTTTCTCTGACATATTGTATTCATCAAATTCATATACGTTTGATTTGAAACCACTTTCTTGCTTGGCTTTTCAGAGGCAACACTAAGTCTTCCAACCACCAGTCCTCTTCATCCTCCTCTTCCTCTTCACTGTCATCCTGCTCGTCATCGTCAGCATTGGCTCATGAGCTGGTACAGACCACCGTCACAGAAACTGACACCAGCAGTCAGGTGGACTGGACCTACGACCCCAACGAACCCAGATACTGCATCTGCAACCAGGTGTGTTCCCGTCACATCTCTTATACAGCATTCCAGCAACACTACTACTTGTAGTGCTCTTACTGTGATTCTGATATTGAATTGATTTACTGTTACATTGATTCACTAATTCTAATTAATTGGGACCACTATCTGCAGATTACAAAACTGTCGTGTGGCAGTAAAGATTCACACATTAAAGCTGTTAAGCTCATGTTGGTTAGACAGGTTAGTTTCTATTGGAATCTATAACGGAAAAAGCCTAAAATAAAATAAAACAAAAGACAAACAAAATTCAAAAATAAAATATTACATTTTATTTGTGTGTGTGTGTGTGTATATATATATATATATATATATATATATAAAAAAGCATATCATGTTTTTTTTTTTTCCGATTCCAGTATCATTATTAATTTAATTTTAATTTAACAGTTTATTCCTTTAAACAATTGCCAAATATGATCAGAACGAATGTTTTGAAAAGGAAAAAATTCAGTCTCTTGGGCTATTTTTAACCATCCCCAATGGAGCAAGATCATACAGGAAAATCAAAGACCTGTTTAGGGAGGTGAGGTGTGTGTGACTCCAATAACAGTTTGCAGAACGATTCTGTGAGAGTGTGTGTGTGTTTTAGTTTATGTATGAGTGCAAAAGAATTGTCTCCCCATGAATGCATTTGTTTCATTGTAAAAGATTGAATGCATTTTGCCAAGTAGGACATGTTTCTGGATCAATGACATTTTGGTTCTGGAACAACATTGATATCAATCAGTCGGTGCCCTCTGATTTTAGTAGGAGCGTGGGAAGGATATGAGAATTGGGAGACGCATTGAGCTATATTCATGAAACAAGCAGAATGCATTTTTGTATAAATCCCTCTTGAAACAGTTCCTAAATTTTCCCACTCAAGCAAATGGGACAATTTAAGATGCCGTTCTCTTCGTATTAACTCATTTAATCCTAAACCATAAAAATCCATTTGTAACCAAAATTCGCTTTGCGTTTGAAGGGCTAAAAAACAGTTGTAAGCTATAGATGTTGTACACTTTAAATTTCAAGTTCAGACCTTGATTTCTTGTGAGCATTTTTTATAGATTTAATAGTTTAAATGAGCAAAATGAATTAATTCCAGATAATAATTTAAAAAGAAAACGTCAAAGCTACATAGAATGTGTCAAAATACATGAGACAATACTGTAAATATTATATATAATATTTGAGGGTCCTATAATTATATATGCTCTCATAAATCATGACCACAATACATGTAAACACCATGGTGGTCACACTGTTTATTTTGAAAATATAAAATAAATAGATTTCGAAGTATTGTTTCTTTAAAGGGGTCCTATTATGCTTTTTCACTTTTTCAACTTTAGTTAATCTGTAATGTTGCTGTTTGAGCATAAAAAAGATCTACAAAATTCAAAGTCCACTTTAAAAGGAGATATTTTATTTAACAGAAATCACTTTTAAAAAACTACAATGAACGACTCGTTTGGACTACAACGCATATTTTCCAGGATTTGTGATATCACAAATATCGACGAATGGGACGAGACCTGGTTGAGCTGCACTAGAGAAGGCAACGAGTGTTATCACTATGTCGGAGACACGCTAGCTTTCCCAAGACAGACGAACTTAAGAGTGGTTACAATCATCCGGGTTTAAATCGAGCTCAAATTGATTTGATTTTGACGCAATATTTACACTGAAGCTCTTATGGCCTCAAAGTAATATTGCTTTTGTCAAAGTATCAAAAATAGAAATGTGTGTGTGTGTCTCTAAATAGACATCAAAGACAAAACTTGCACAGTCTTTGTTCGCAGGTGCGTACATCCGTGACGCTCAGCTGCAGGTGTGTATGTGCGTGTTTGTCTCGTATGCTCTGTGTTTCATTCTCTCTCTGTCATTGTGCAGGTGTCATACGGAGAGATGGTCGGCTGCGATAACCAAGATGTAAGTCAAGCCTTCATCTCTAAAGACACACAGCTACATTTCCTCTTCAAACAACTCACACTAGCTTTGTCGGCTCTTGTGACCCTTGGGCAGTCACTGTTTTTGCAGAGATGACTGAAAGCAGTCATGAGTATTATTGTTTATATAATAAGAATTGTATTATATATTATTATTTTATTAGAATGAATTTTATAATCATTTTATACAAATAAAAAATATAAATTGCTATTATAAATAAAAATGTAACATTTATTAATTAAATTAAATTAAAATATATGATATAATTATTATATAAACTAAATATTTTACAATTCTGAAATATGTAATATAACAATTTATAATATATACTGAATTTAATGTAATATAATTTTTTTTTTTAAATGTCATTCTGAGAATTCTTTTTTGATTGCTGTGAGAGAAATTGTCATTTGATCCCGACACTTTCCCGTCTTTTCCCACAGTGTCCAATCGAGTGGTTCCACTACGGCTGTGTGGGTTTGACCGAGGCACCCAAAGGGAAGTGGTACTGCCCACAGTGTACAGCGGCCATGAAGAGGAGGGGAAGCCGGCACAAATAAATGCCAGATCACCTGGGCTGACCTCTCTGAAATGACTGTCCCCCTTGACTGAGAGTGTACGTTACATCATCATGCGATCAGGGTGTGTAGATGCGAGAGAGAGATGTTGATGCCTGAAAGATGGTGTGGATGCTGTGTGTGTGTGTTTGTGTAAATCGCAACCAGGTTGGGCGTTTTTAGCTGGTGAATCTAAGCGCACACTGCCCTCGGAACTTTTCCTGTTTTTATGTTTTTCTCTTCATCTCCATTAATCGTTATGGAGGCGGATGGGCAAGATGGTATTGGGAGACCCATGTTTTTTAACATTCAAGACATTCCTCAGCTTGCCATGCGTGATGACCCTTCGCATCTGGCAGCGCCTGCTAATCCATATCGGCATAGTATGGATTGACATGATGCAGACTGGGAATTGTAGTCCTGAACTGTTTGATGGACTACAAGTCTCGTGACGTTCAGCTCTGATAAATCTTAAAGGATCCTGATATGAACAGATTACGACAGCAACAGTGACGCCTCATTGCTTGCCAGTGAACGTGACGATTTTGCTGGATTATTTGTGTGTAATGGATAGATGATGTATTGTGCTCTGCTTAAAAGGACAGGATGTTTCTTATTTTACCGAGGAGCTCTTAAGGTGTACAATAGAACAAATGAACAACTGTGACCTGTGTGTCTGTGTCTCTAGCCTGTACTGCACTGATGTGGTGATATGTTTTGAGAGATGTGTGTGTGTGTGTGTGGGTCTGAATACTTTCCGTACCCACTGTATATACATATATAGTTTCTTTTACATTTTTTTGAGAATAGTATTTTTATATTAATATTTATCTTACGGAGGAATCGTAACGTATTTTGTTTGTTTGTTTGTTTTAGAATATTACAATATGAATTATATATTGTTTCGTTGGGCTTTCCAAAGATTAAAATGCATGTGCTATCTTAGCTGGGAAAATGTTGGAATTAAATAGGTACTTTAACAAATCAAAAGAACAGACCCAAACATCCTCTTTTTTTGCTGGCTTTAACTTTAACGGTAGTTACTACAGTTACTTCCATTTAAATAGCTATGAAAAGGAGCAGCACACGGGGGTCTGGAGTAAAAGTTAGAATAGAATTCTAAATACTTGAACAATACATTTTTATTAATGTATTGTTCAACTTTGTAAAATAATTTTAAAGGTTCTTAAAAACGTAACGCGTATGCGCGCGAGAAACCGTATGAAAACAGTGAGACGCGACGCAACGCAACCGTGATGGCAGTCTCTCGCTCGTCTAGATTGACCAATAATTTAAAAGGACTGTAAATGACCGCTAAACACGTCCTGTGTGAAAAGGCCTTTAAGTTTAATATGTTGAGAAGCCCAGCCGAACCTACAACATTCGCGGCGGTTTGGTAAAGTGAGGAAGGCGCTGTCTGACAGCGCGTGAAGGAGGCGTATCATTACTCTCAGTCATGAGGTTCCTCCGCTCGGGAGTGTTTTTAATCAACCGTGGGGCTCAGCAGCTTTGAGAAGAAGAAAGAAGCCTTCAGAGAAACCTTTCACTCTGTTTGGACACCTGGACCGTTGAAACGAGACTTCACAACCAGCTCTGACGCGCGTCGAATTAGTTCAAGATTTTCCACGATAATGTCCTAAAGCGTTCCTCAGATATGTGCGCTTTAACCCAGCGCGTCGGATTCCTGAGCTGCGCGTTTGAGCGCTTGTCGCTCGACTGCGCGCCGTGATCCCGGAGGGATGATGTGGGGACCAAGCGCGCATTCCCAATGGTATGTGTCTTGACTCTAGCCAGGAACGTTTGTGCAGAAGTGGGAATGTTTTTCCGTGGGATCTGGGCGCTCCGCCGGAGGTGCTGCACTGGTCCCCTTCTGCTGCTGGGGATAGCGGTCGGGCTGTTTTACCACACTGTGACTATGCACCGGGACAGAACTGAGTTCAAGTCCAGTCAACGGGACCAAAGGAACAAATCTGCGGTGTTTGATGATAAACTACTCCTCAAGAACCCAGAGAGACTCGTATCTCTACTAGAAGCATCACAGACAGACCGTTTTGTAAGTGTGATACTTTCTTTTATGTTTCAAAGCTGTTTATAGTTTATTATTTCATCTTTGCCTAATAATAATGCTGATGCTGCTGCTGATGATGATAATGATAAGAATAATAAGAATTATTATTATTATTATTATTAGGGATTATTAAAGTACAAATATGTATCTATATTTATCTATAATATTTAGTATTCATTATCTTAAAATGTAATGCATGTATAAAATAGTTCTTTGTAGTACTGAAAAAATTATATTTAATGCTCATAATATCACAGCATTAATTTATTTAAATATAATTATTTATTAATGTATTGTTTTGTTAATGTATTTAATGTTAAATCTAATGCATAATTAATACAGTTAAAATGTAGAAAAATAGAATATAAAATACCCATAATATTACAGCATTATATTTACTTTTTATTAATGTATTGTTCAAGTATTTAATGTTAACTCGAATGCATAATTAAAATAGCTTTTTATAATACAAAAACATTTTTAAATATTTGATACTCAGTATTACAGCATTAATGTATTTAAATGTAATTATTTATTTATTTATTATTTATGCGTTTGTATAATGATTGAATGTATTATTCACTGTGTAATTAAAACAGTTTTTTATAATGCTGAAAATATTTACAATATTTAATACGCATAATATTACAACATTCATGTATTTACATTTTATTATTGCATTATTATTTGTATTTAATGTTAAATTTAATGCTTAATTAAAAGAACAATTTGGAATACTGAAAACAAAATAGAATATTTAAGTCATAATATTACAGGATTGATGTATTTAAAAGCAAATTATTTATTAATGTATTATTCATGTATTTAATTTTACATGTAATGCATAATTAAAATAGTTATTTATAATACTGAAAAAGTATTATGTATTTATAATACTTTATAATATTTTATACTCATAATATTACAGCATTTATATTTAAATGTACTTATACTTGTTTATGTATTATTTATGTATCTAATTATAATTTTAATCCTCTGTGTTCAATGCACTATTTTTATTTTTTTTATTTTCTATTACCTTTTCCATAGTTTGATATCTGAAAAAGAACCTAGAAAATTTTCCCAGGTATTGCTATAGATTTCAAAACAATGGATGTGTCACTACACTTCAGCTGTTACAGATGTTCAAATCAAAAACGTCATTATTTCTAAGTTCTCATCACTTGCAAAAAAGCTGTTGCTTTAGGATTTTCGTCTTCCCTCCTTTCAGCACGAAACCCAGTTAAAAATAGCCAGCGAGTATTGTTTATGTATGATGGTTGTCTTTGTTGGGGGTATTTTAGGAGGAGAAACTCAAGGCTGGACATTCATTGGTTTAAGAGAGCACATGAAGGAGGGGTTATTTATGAGTGCACACATGCTTTCGTTCGAACGCTGGGAAGATTGACATCTGCGGGGAAGTGTTATGTCAGTATGGGATAGAAAGATCTGCAGAGAGATGCCGGGAATAAAGTACAGCTGTCATGGGATGCCCACCCATAGGTTTATTTGCGACTTCTGTACGAGGAGGTGGAGCATGTGTACGCGCGAAAGAGAAAGAGTGTGCAAAGCATAGAAAAAAAGTGAGAGAGAGAGAAATTGGGAAACAGATTTAAGGTCACTGAGGCAGAAGATGGGGGCAGGAAAGCAATGAGAGGTGAGAGAGGTTTAGTTTTAAGCTGGGACTGCGGCAGTATGCCTTCCCATAATCCCGCACTAACTAACTCCTAGCAGGAAGTCAACACTGGGAACCATGACAGCTGTCCTCAATCAGCTGTTAGTGAACCTTACTTGAGTGTGTGTATGTGTGCGTGTGTTGAGTAGGATAGAGTTATCAGTCTGTGTGACCATCAGTGGCTCTCTGATGTGTTTGGAGAAGGACTGTGCCCTGCAGTGTCTGGTGCTGCCATATAAAAGTCATAAACATGTAGGTAACAGAGTTGAGCAGGAAGTGAAGAATTACCCATTGCATTTGAGGGCATCATGATTGTGAGTGTGTGGGAGTTTGTAGGGATGAATTAAGGATTCTGGGCATTTGTTGTGGAAGTTTTCAGCCTCTCAGCAACAGGAGTGAGATAATGTTTGTTGTGTGAATTAGCATAATGCCATTTCGCATTAACATATATTCATAACGTTCATTTGAAGAAGATGCCTATTGGTTGCTGTGCGGACTGTGAAAAGTGTGAAAAAGTTTTCCCATCCTGCAAACCATTGCTGTCTCGTTGTCCCTGGAGACCATTGGAGGACGTTCATTCATGTTAACGAAGTCACGTCTGTCTGTGCTTTTGGACCGCCTGGTTCTGATCCAGGATCAGACAATTGCATTCACTTTCAGCTGATTAACTTCTAGTGTTTACACACACACACACACACACACACACACACATGCACGGTGAATGTGAATAACTGCTTTGACTGCTGCCATATGTCAGTCTAATATAAACCTCACTATGTAGTGTTTAGACATCACACTTTAACAGCCAGTTGGAAGGTCATAGTCACATATTAATCTCACACAGTCTGCTCTATAAATTTTTTTAAATAAATATAATATTTATTTTTATCTTACATTTTTAAAATGTATTATTATTATTATTATTATTCATAGGCCTTAAGTATTAATGTTTGGCACTATTTTTAAAGTGATCAGGCTTATGTTGATCACTTAGCGAATGATAAAATGAGCAAAATATCCCATGAACTTTGGAACCTAGGGACCTAATACTGTAGAGAAGTTCAGTGAATAATACAAAATAATAATTTAAGAATATAGAAAAAATATAAATTTAAATATATAAAATATTGTTATAATACCGGAAAATAGTTATATTTAGTACTCATAATATAACAGCATTAATTATTTAAATTTACGTAGTTATTAGTGTATTATTCATGTATTTCATTTTATATTGAATGCATAATTCAAATATAGTTATATATAATACAGAAAAAAATATTTGTAATATTTAATACTCATAATATTACAACTTTAATGTATTTACATCTAATTATTTATTTACATGCATAATTAAATAGTTATATATAATACTAAACAGTATTTATAATGTTTAATGCTGACAATATTGTATTATATTGGATTTAAATGTAATTATTAATATATTATTCTTGTATTTAATATTAAATTTAATGCATAATTAAAATATAGTTCTGATACTGAATGAAATTTATAATATTTAATGCTCGCAGTGTTGTATTATATTGTATTTAAATTTAATTATTTATTAAAGTGTTATTCATGTATTTAGTTTTGAATATAATGCATACTTAAAATATAGTTATATAATACTGAACAATATTTGTTTTATACTCATAATATTACACCATTCACGTATTTAAATGTAATTATTTATTAATGTATTATTCATGCAGTATAAAGGGCATAAAGTCAAACCTCTGCTGTGACATTGCTGTCAGGAGACACTGTAACCTACTGTCTAGCACATGCTATACATGTTATAGTCTATATTAGGCCTGTGGTTTGCACGAACAACTGCACTCCATCACTGTTGGGCTGAACGCTCCCCAGAGACGTTCAAGTACGCTGAGAGTTTATTGTCTGCCGTTTTGACTGTGTGGGGAGAGGACAAATACAGGAGGTCAGCAAGTAGCGCTCACTTCTTTTCTACACCATGCGTTGCATTGTTTTAGAGGGTCTAGATGTGGCATAGAGGCGGGTTTGGTATGTTATGTGTTTGTGAGTGTGTTTGATGCGGTTTGTGTCGAATGGGAGAGAGGAAAAAGGGTTATTTTTATATATAGGGGCCTCTCGACAGCCATGATTAACCTCTGAACCTTATACACGGAGCCAGTGGTAACAGAACCCCTATCCAGAGTGGCATAGAGAGAGAGAGGTATTTGTGGAGGGGAGGAAGAGCGAGGAAAGTGCAGAAAAACAGGGAGAAGTAGTTTGTGGGGGGAAAGCTTGAATAAAATGTTGAGCCAATGCCAAACGTTTAGCCAAGTAAACCATTCACTTTGCATGGACAAGCAGAGTTCGAGGTCTCCTCTGAATACTAACAGAACCCGCGTTTTGTTTTCTTCCTTCTTTCCACATCTCAAGCGCTCTCTTGAAGTCTAGGACATGTTAACCTGACCCAGCTGTGCTCCGCGCTGGGTTCAAATATTGAACCTGGATTGCAAAGTCTAATTCTGTTCATTTCTATGCAGAAAATTCCTTAGAAGAATGAAATATCACGTTTTACACAAAAAGTCTAATAAACACTTTATTCAGCAAGCAAGCACTTCATTATGCTAATGGTGGACTGTTTATGGTCACCAAGGAATGTAGCAACTTAGCACATACAATCACTAATGTGTGTTTTACAAAGCTTTGAAGGCAGCTCCAATAAGAATCTAAAATAGATATATATTTATATGTAGACATATTATTTTAAATGTATACATTTACCATTACAATGGTTTCAAAGGCAGCTCATTTAGAATTTAACATTTGAATTTATATATTAAATTGTGACATATGACATTCTTAAGACAGAAGGCATTATTAAATGTATTTAAATTTATATATAATACATCTATATTATTTACTATATTGTAAATTTATTCATGTACATTATTATTATTATTAGTGCATGTGCATACATACTAACATACAGTATATGCATACTAATATATATATATATATATATATATGCACTAATAATAATAAGAATAATATATATGAATACATATTATATGTGTAAATATATTGTAAATAATACACACACACACACACACACACACACACACACACAGGTTTGTTTTTGTGAAAAGTGGGGACATCCCATAGGCATAATGGTTTTTATACTGTACAAACTGTATATGCTATTGCCCTACACCAACCCTACCCCTAAACCTACCCCTCACAGGAAACTTTGTGCTATTTCAGATTTTCAATACACTCCATTCTGTGTGATTTATATGCGTTTTGAAAAGTGGGGACATGGGGTAATGTCCTGAAAAGTCACCTTCTCCTTGTAATACCTATGCCATACCCTTGTCATTATACAAATTTATGTCCTCATTTGTCACAAAAACGCGCGCGCGCACACACACACACACACACACACACATAGAGTTTAAATAAATGCAGTGTAGTATATTTATTATTACAGCATTATTACAAAATATATATATATATATATATCCAAATGTCATGCTCCAAATGTCATTCATCCAATCAGATTTTAAAGGCATAATTCTTCTGAATTCACTGATACGTTGTATTCTGATGCGAATGTTCACATCCACTTTATTGGTAGAAAAACTTGTCTGTGTTAATTTTAGTAGATCATTTTATAATTAATTTTTGAAATTCTATTACTCTGATGCATCTGAGTGCAGAGAGTGACTTTAATAATGATGTTAATTTAGTTTGGCTTGCCGTTCCACATTGCTGACATAAGAAAACAGAGCTGAGTTTATGAGATGATAATGGTATTTTGGCATGGGCACTAACTCCCAAAGTGCTATCTGAGCACACAAAAAAACTTCTGCATAAGATTCTCAGGCCTGACTAGGGCACCAAAGGTTTTAGTAGCCTTCACAGCCAAGGTAATACCATCACTAGTACCACTTTCTGGTAAGGTCGTGTGGAGGATTTCTGCATATCTGTCAGGGTGGTCTGTTCTTTATCTGTGTGTTTACTGGGTCAGAGGCCATGTGAGGATTGAGTTGTTTGAATCTAAGTACAGATGTTGTTATGCTTGAATTTGTTTCATTGTATTATACACAACACTTGTGACCCATTTGTATGTGTGTTTGCATGTGTGAGAGAGAGAGATAGAATATGTCATTTTTTGGTCAGTATTGCATGCATGTGCACATATGTCTTTGTGCGTTTTTCTGCACCATGTGTGCTGTAAAAGTCATGACCCTTTGGGGACGGTGTTAGGAGGTTGGCTTTTAAAGATAGTAGTATTATTTTTAGTCCAAACACTTTGGGATTTAGTTGCACATACCAAACACCATCTACTCTGTCCTTATACTTTTGCATTCAAGACTTGCATGTTTTTTTATGTCTGGTTCCCACTGTTTAAAATGACCTCTGCTTGTTCATCATTTACAAGTTAGCGACAAGAGAGGATGCTTTTCCACGATAGAGCAATTTCTGCTGTGACTTGACTGCATTTGCACTGATCCCTGCACCAGAGGACTAAATGAATATTTATGTGTATATTCATCTCCTGCTTTTATGTGGTGGGAATTAAAGGAAGATTTCCCTGAGAGGATTTAATGTTTTGTGTATAGCTGATTTAATTTCAGCTCTTATTAAAGTTAATGTTTCATTGTGCTCTCTCAGCTCTTTGGGTTTTATATATATATTCCTCTCCCTCCCTACTTCCTTTTTATTTCCCTCTTTCTTCATGAGATGTTTCTTATTGGTTGTTATTACTTCCTTTGAGCGCTGGGCTGTTTTAGGCAGCGCTTTAATGAAGTAATGATGTTTGTGTCTTGGGCCGCAGACACGGAGGGTGAAATGAATGCAGTCCAGTAATTGCATGTTTTAGATTAGCGTCTGCAGCCTGAGGTCTCACAGAGGGGCAGGAGAGAGGCAGCAGATGGGAGGAAGAGAGACAGACTGGGGGATGTAGGGAAGAAAGAGTGGGAAACTAAGTATGAATGGAAATGAGGTGCTTCTTGTTTCTTTTGAGTTGGTGACGAAGTTGGAATTGTAGTATTTGAAAAGAAAAGAGAACAGTTATAAACTGGATTTTAGTGGTGTTGGCCCTTGCAAAACTCACCATCATGACGCTTGTGTGTTGATATGCAGTTGCCAAAGTGTTATTGATGTGTTAGATGGCCAAACGTCTCTGATATTCTAGTCTCTAGATATGGCTTAAGTCCATCCTTCACTGTAAGTATATGGATGTATGTAAGTGTTAGTTATGTTCAAGCGAAAGTCTAATTGCTTAAATGAGTACACATCTCTTCAACAAGCCGCATTATTCATATACTGAGCTTGATTTTATTGCCTTTTTGTTTTGAGGTCCCAGGGCCCCTGATGTACTTATTTGTAAAATTTTGAAATTAACAAATTAAATTTGAACATCCAATATAATATATTACATAATAGAATATATGAGGGGGGGATAAAATATGTAATGAATAATTAAAATGTACGATATTTAAATATAATTAGAAATAAATATAAGTATTACATTTACTGCTAATAATAATATTTATTATTATTATTATTATTATATGTAAACTAATACTTAAATATATTAGAAATATATTACTATATAACTGTATAACTAACTCTTTTGTTTCAATATTAATGTTGTTGTTGATGATGATGATATAAAAGGGTTATATACATCAGAAATAAAAGCATTAAATTTACAAATAAAAATATTATCAATAACAAAAAATATAATATCGTTTCTATGATTATATGTAAATAAATATATATATATATATAAAAGAAATGAATATATTACTTCATGTACAACTAAAGCTAATGTACAGCTAACCCCAATGTTGTTAATAATAATTAGTAATAATTATTATTATTATTATTAGTAGTAGTAGTAGTAGTAGTAGTAGTAGTATATGGTTGTTGTGTATATCCTCTAATAGGAATTTGTCAGTTAAAAGTTGTTTACGGTTTTATTTTTAAATCCCTAACCTATGTAATGTATAAGCATTAATAAAGAGTCTGTTTTGAGGACTAAATGAGTGAATAATGGGGTGCAGGGGTTGACTTTGGCCATTTAGGACCCTTTCATTAAAGTGGCTGAGCTCCCAGATGGAAACGTTTACAAGCAGAGGAGGAGTGGACCTCTGAGAGAGAGCGAGAGAGGCACAGCACGACGGCAGAAAAAGATGAACACATACAGAGAGAGAAGAAATGGGAACAGTATCAGCCATGCTGAAGGAGAGGAAACGCTCCCCTCCCTTCCTCAGTCACACACTCATGCTGAAGCTCTGCCCAAATAACGCTGTGTTCCTCTGATTCTGTTATGCAACACGGAACTGGATGATCGTGTGCTATGTTTAATATGACTTTTAGCAAGGCTGTCATGTCAACAAGTCATGTTGTTGAGCTTTCCTCTGGTGCTAAACTGAACCATATCCCAGAATTCTCCTGTGCAGCCTCTGAGCGAGTCCAGGCGTCTGAAGTCTGCTCTCATCTAATCGGGGTTCAGCCCTCCTCCCTACCTGACGACCCACAGAGGTCATTACCACGCTAGACTGCATTATGGGTACTTTTGAAATGCTCAGCAGCCTTTCTGATTAGCCCCTGGTGTTGTGATCCTCACATGTGACAAAGCCAGAGGACGCTTTAAACCCTGTTATGAACTTCATTGAGCATTTGTAACCTAGAAATCAGGTTTATTTGTGCATTTTATTAAGTTTTAAAGGAAGTAACATCAAGAATAAATGTATGTTTAAAAGAAAAAAGTATAGTTGCTAAACAGTTTCTCTTTTCTTTCTCTCA